GCTCACCTGCCAGTCTCCGCTGCGCAAGACGAGAGCCTGTCTGCACTCACACATGCGCCGACTTTAAAAAAAAAAAATCACATAAAAAACAACATCTTTGCTACAGAGACGTTTTTAACAAGTATTACAGAAAGAGCACCAGCTACCAAAAAGAGTTGCCAGGGCCAGAAGGAGCCATCAATCGAAACAGTTTACATTTCAAAGTTTTTCCAAGAAGAGTGAAAACGTCTCCCCTCCTTGATGGGAAACGGAGGAGCTAGAGGGAGGAATCTATTAGCCGCCTTCTCCCCCAGGCTTCCATCTCCAGAGCAGCCCTCTGAGCCTGAGCTTGGTGCCAACAGGTAGAGAGCGGCCCAGCAAGACTTACCTCTCCTGGGTCCGTGCCCTGAGCAGCTTGCAAGGCTGAAGTGTTAGGATTAAATTCCTCTTCTCCCTGTGAGTTTCATTGTTCAGAGAGCAGCCTTTTCATTCTGAGGACTCTGTAGGAGTATCAGGTCCCTTCCTCCTGTCATGCTTCTTAAGCCGCTCAAGGGGCTATCCTACCCATTTCTACTTGACAAAATCCAGAAATTGGCCCTCCTCTGCAAAATTTATGTGTGTGCTTTAATTGTTATAAGATAGTAGGAAAAGTTTGCATACTCGTCTCTGCTGGGGAGGAACCATACCTCCTCCAAGAACAATTTTCAAAAGGTGGAAAACGGACACATACTTTTATCTGAGGTTTTCAATTTTTTATTCATTTTTTTCATCTTATTTCTAAGCACAAAATCTGATTTTTTTCTGAATACACTGGAATAAAATGCCCATTTTTTTACATGAAGTAACTAGAAGCAGGCAAATGCAAGTACAAAACCAAGAAGAAAATTAACTTCACAGTTAAGTCTTGAGGCAAAGGATAAGAACAGTGCAATGCTTTGCCACTGACGAATGTTATTGTGCATCCTCCTCCATACAGCATGCCCAAGATGCCGGCAATCCACCACATACCCATGACCAACAGGAAATTTGTGCAACCATAATGAAGACTCAGATGCCCCAATAACCCAGAAGTACTATGGGCCTTTGTCTTCAGTTGCAATGTAAACAGGACAAACGTGAGAAAACAAAAGGGTGGGCCTTCTATTTTTTGAGCATACAAACAAATGCTGTTCATCGTGTCTGCAAAAAGTCCAGGCACTTTCTTAGACTGACTTATTGATATAAATTACACAGCATCTCTGGAAATTGTCGACAATTTCTGTATCAACATCCTTTGCAAATACCACTAGGTCTGAGTGAACTCATTCTGACCTTCTGGTCCGAGGCCGTCACTGTGTGATGTACATAATTCTCTCAACACTGATCCATTACTTCTGCTCAGTGTTGGGGGTCAGGCCAATAGTGTAAAGTCAAAGATAATTAGCAGCCCTATCAATAACCAGCTATGGGATTGCTGCCTAAGTGACAGGGCAGAGAAGCCAAGAGGAGGCAGCAATATAAAGTGGAAGGGAAGTGCCGGCGTATTCTCCGGTTCGGGCGGCTGCTGTGGACTATCAGCATCACCAGGAGACCTCATTGCATTAGCATAAATTCAAATGACAAATGCACAGTGCTATTCAGAGACTCATTAATTTGCAGTGGGTGCAGTGCTCATGACATATTAGTGCAAAATTCAAATGTCTTTGTAGCAATGCGAATTTAGTTGTGAGACCAAAGTCGCTAAAATGAAAATGTGTGGGTTTTTTTTAGCAGTTTATTAAATTATGAACTGTGATGACTATATCCGTGCATCTTTTTAAGCAGATGAGGTCCAGCGTGCTCCAGCGGCAAAACGCATGGTTTGTGTTGATATTTTCCTGTCAGACAATTTCCTAGCCTCGGATAATATACCAGACAGCTCTGAGCTTTGCTGCATACGGACTGAGAGCGCCCCCTTCTGGACAAATGGCAACGACACTCGAAAAAGCAGACCAGACCATTTATTGTTTTTCTTTATGTATTTTTAACAGGTTTTGATACAAAGAATTTCAGTACCCACTTCAAACCCAACGGAAACGACTTAGGATCACCTAATGTAAGTAGAAGAGTGCGACAACTTTCTATGAAATGCCAAAGCGTGACCACTGTTGAAACTGATCTCCAGTTATTTTGTGTGGCACTTCTTCCTCCAACAGCTCACACACAGGATTCTCTTTAAAAATAATTTACTGATCTACATAGGGTAAGAAAATAAAAAAACAAAGTACTATTGGTCACTAGATTCTTGCTTTTGCACAAAATCGTGGGGAAGTTTGCAATTACTCGGAGTTTGGGGGAAAGCATATTCAGAGTCTTTTAACAAAGCAACCAAATATGTCTTGTATGCATCTCAGTTAACAAGATGATGATCAGACAAGAGGATGAAAGGCTGGACCACACCTGGTCTACATGTGGATGATGAGATTCTCCTGTTTAGCAGAAGGAGGCATCTGCCTGCTCACTGCATTACTCAAAGCAGTACGTCTCAAATACTAGCATAGCCCACACACATTAAAAAAAAAAAACTACTCCAATTAGTAAAATAATGAGATGAGGACAGTTCATTTTGTCTTCATGGTTAATATAACAAAAACATACAACATCAACGGCTGTGTTTCCCAGGGCTCAGGGTTCTTGTTACAGAAGAGTCACATCCCAGGCTTATGAAGTAAACACTTAGGTTGATGTCTAATAGTAAGAAATGCACACAGATAGCATTTCTCAGTGGAAGCTCTAACTAGGCAAATTAAGTGACACACTTTTGAATAAATTGGAACTCATATTACTACTTGAAAATCACTTTTAGAATAATAAAAAGTCCAGAAACATACTATCCAGTCATTTAGGGTAACTGACCTCCGCTGGTATATAGAAGTCTGAACTACCAGACACTTATGTAAAATATGCTTATCACTTCTTAAGCTTTAAGTAAATTGCATAAAGTGAAGAGGTAGTTATGGCAAACTATTAGTGCTTACAGGCATAATAATGTACTTTCTAGGCATTTGGTTTATGATAAATGTGGAAAGAAAACCTTCCAACGAAAGCTGTATACTTTTAAAATCCATTTTACAATATCATTAAAGCTGTGCACCATTTTCAACAATTAAAAGTAAGATCCTGGTAATTTATTCTACTTACTTGCAACTGAATTGCTCTTGAGTTATTTAGCAGGCTCATTTTATTTTATATGAGCTGCTACAAGGAAGATCTGAAGCTAATGAGGATTGAGAAGGATCACTGTGCATTAAACTCGTGGATGTGGCGTGTGGCTGAACAGTATTAGATTATCACTGCGGCCAGATGTCTAGGCATTGCTTTTTCCTAATGAATTCTCTTTTACAGAGTAATTAGAATCCTAAACCCTGGGAATGTCAGACCTGGAAGGCTCACTGTTGAGCATCCCTCATTTTCTGGATGTGGGAACCAGAAACTCGTCGATGTTAAGCAAATTTACCAGAACATAATGACTAGTGGTGGGTAGGAGGAAAGAACCCTTTTCTTTAGAACCCTTCTGAAACTTGAACCCATAACATAATCACCCAGAGGGCTGTGGAAGGATTGCTGGTCCATCTCTAGACCTCCTGATTCTTTACAACTGAGATAGGCCCAAGGAATTTATATTTCTAACAAGTTTCAGGTGATGGTTTCCAGGGGATGCTGCTCTTGATGGCACCAGGACCATCAAGATGTAAGGGTTTTTCTGACACCTTGTTTTTTATATATAAACAAAGAGATCTCAAGTTTCCGAGTCACCACATCACTTTGGTGTCCTCTCATCAGCTCTCCAAAGGGCTGGGGTAACATCTACAGCAGGAAAGACTGGAAGGGGGCAGAGCAACAGAATAAAAGCACAAGAGGTGAGGCACTTGTGTGGAGGTCTTTGGGAGTCACAGTCACCCCCAAACATCAGTGTTTCTAAAGAAGAACACAACCCAGCTAAGTGCCAAGTACAAGGAAGTCGGCCTTGTCCTCCGCTGCCTTTCCCCGTGAGCAATCAATACTTTTGTGAGTATGGGAGTTTGAGGCCTTGGCCCATCTCTAAAGTAAAATAGCATTTCTAGACCTGACAAATCAAAGTGCAAGTCATCATTGTCTATGACATCTTAGCAAATATGTCTTAAGAGCAGGGGAGAATGAGTGTCTGTGTAAACGGACTTGATTGAAGCTTTGGCTCATAGGCGGAGCCTGTTCAAGATGGACTTCACCAGGGCACAGGCCAGCTTCAACCTACAAAGCAGAGTCCAGCCAACTTTTTCAGCACTCCAGTCACATGTTAGAAATCTGATTTCTTCCTTCCTTTCTTTTTCTTCTGGTTTGGAGAATGAATGTAGAAGATAATAACATACATAGTTATATATAATACGATTATATATAACTTATATATTGGTATCACATGTATGTTTTTAGCAGCTTAAAAAAACAATCGAAAGACATTGAAATAAATTTAATCACGTACGTCAACCCTGATGTTTTTGTGCCTTTTCCCACAGAGACATAATTATTTTCTTAAATTATATCATATCACTTTCCCCCACAGATTTGATTTCACAGAATAGGCCATGGAATAAAATGTCGTTCTTCTGAACATTAAGAAGATATCCCCACAAAACAAAATTCCTATTTGGGGAGTTCTTGAATAAGTTGGTCCATTAAAAATGTGATTTGTTATGTTCGTCATTTCTACAAAGGACAGCTTTTTCACTTAAAACCAGGTTCAAATAATCCTGGTTGGCAAGCGGTTTTGAGCTTTTCCTTTTGATTTTGTACTGTTGTCCTAACTTGTTGACAAGCCAGCCGAGTCACAGGAAGGACCACCACAGGCTTCGCCATGGCCGAGGGAGCATATGCGCCGTGCCCTTGTGCCTATGGCGAAGATCCCGACCGAACTTCAGCATCGCCGCTGCCTCTCCAGTGGCTCCCGTTGATTAGCTCCTGATCCAAACAGCTTTCCTAGCTTTAAGTACTTGCTCTTTCGAAAATTTCCCCTTCAGTTCTGGTAAAATAAATCTTACTGCTTGACACTTGGGAATTGTAGCAGAAGTCTTGGTTTTCTCTGTCTACATGGAGCTGTGTTAACTGCTCCACTCATCACTATGAAAGAACCATGCATAGCAAACATACAAGTATCTTATTCAGAATGAAAGCCTATGAGAATGAGCCTTCTTCATAGGTGACAGACCACTTTGTCCTTTAAAAAAGCGATCGAGTACTATCAAACATTGTAGCAGCTTATTTGGTATCAATGGATAGGCTAGCCTCCAGTGAATAGAGTCAGAAAAACAGTAGCCTGCTAATTCAAATTATCTATTCTACAACTGGATTTTTATTTATACCTTTTCATCTGAAAATATATGCATATGTACTATTTTTATCCCTGGGTAAAAATAAAGTGAGGTGTTTTGTGGTTTATTAACCAAGTCTATTTCACCTGTTTCTAAAACCTTCTCTGATATTTTTAAGACAGTTCTCTTAAACTAAGGCAATAAAAAAGGAGTA